GGGGGGAGGTGGGAATGAGGATGGAAGGGCGGACAGAGAATGGTCCGCTCACTGGAAGTTAAACTCTACGAAGATCAAATTGTGAATCCGAGGCTGCGCGAACTGTCCGGGACTCGCCAGAGGGTGGAGAGAAAGTGGACTCTCTGCGACACGACAGGGGTAGCCGGGGACCGATTTAATTAAATTCTAACGCTTTCGGGGGAACGAAAGCGAGCGAACGCGAGCGAGCGAGCGAGCGAGCGAGCGGCGTCGATCGCGCGCCGATACCTACCTTATACCTCCGACGACGCGACGTTTCCCTCCCAGGATCGCTGCACGAGGAATTGACGATGATCTGGACCGACGCGACGCGACGAGACGCGATGGGGCCCAGGGTCGTTCGAAATTATTTCTTTCGCCGTTACGTTGACTCCGCGCTTTCGTGTGTCGGGCTAAAGCTCGTCAGGGGAACGCTATTGCGTTCTGACGAGGCCAGGGGACACGAACGCGCGAGCATGTGGGCGAGCAGGGGAGCGGTGGGGGGGGGGGGGGGTGGGGACCATTACGGTGGAATTTCATGACTCCAAGTGGATTGAAAAGTTTTTGATGTTATTGGACGCCGAACGTCAATTTCGTCGTTGCGTCGAGTCGCGGCCGTTAATCGGTACCCTGTGTGTTGTCGTCACGTCAATAACGAGTTCGATAGAATTGCGCGCGACAAAGGTTTCCGGTATTATTTCGAAATTATATCGTAAATCCGATTTATTTCACGTCGCGAAAATGTTTGTTCGCTCTATTCCCAATTTTTTCCTCATGCGTTAGGTACGCGCCGGGTATTAATATAAAATGGATTGCTGATTTTTATTTTTCTCCATTATACAATCCTCGTGTGAATAAATTATGCCCTCACAAACGCGTATCAGCTTAAAACTGAAATTCTGCTTTCTGTTTTCATATTTTATTTTTATACCCTGATGTAACGCTCGTTGCCGCAAAACAGGTGTTTTCCAGTATAATTATCTGTAATATAATTAAATATAGATTTAAATAATCAATTATCCAAAATCAAAATAATTCGTCAATTATATTTAATATACAAAATTAATTCAGTTGAAATACAATAGACGCGGATGTTGCGTGTAGGCGATCGTTATGAAATAAAGCGTCTATTCTGCTATTCGCGCAAAAATATTATGCATATTTAAAATAGTCGCGGTGTTTGCGTAAAAGATTTATTGTTCATTCTGCCATGCGCTATATAGCGCCACATCCCTGAAAATTCATAAATGACGAGGGTATATGACAAAGGCGAGCATATTGTAAAATGCGCAAGGTCCTTGGTGGAAGCGTTTCCATGGAGATATCATCGCGGTTGGCCTATTTCCAACTATGAGGACGTACTCGGCGGCCGCAAATATTTGCTAATTACAGTGTAACGCCGTCTAGCAAAAGCTATATCAAGTGATTACTGCTGCTAGTATTGCTTTTGATCTCAAACGTTATCGGCGATCACGCGGATATATGTCCGATAATCGCTCGAGCATCCTCTCGATATCCTCTCTCCCCTCCCTCCCCCCGTCAAATATCCCCGGCGCACCTTTGCGCGATTTTTCAATCAGAGGCAATATTCCCGGGCAGTAGCGCAAAACCGGGATAAACTGTTGAGGGGCGAAAAAAAAAAAAGCGCGCGAGCGGATAGTTTTTTTGTCGCGATCCGCGACGATGCATATTCCCTCGCTATTTTCACAGCCCCTGCCGGCCCTTCCCTCCCTCCCGCCCCCGTCATTTCCCGCGATGTTTATCCTGGCTGTCTATTTTCGGCGACGTAACTTACACCTTACACACCCGGGGATTCGCGATGCGTACGCACGCACGTATACGCACTGTTTTTCTAGCAATCCGTCACACGTATACGCGCATAATACCCGTGTTCCGTCGGCCGATATATAGGCGGATCGGCGCCCGCAATAGGCGCAAGCGCCGACCGGACTCGTCGTCGAAAACGACGGCGTTCGGACGTTCGTTCAGTCGCTCGGCGCTCAGTCGAGTACCGACGTCGTCGACGGCGACGTCGTCTACCACCCCTTGCGGAGACCCCCCTCTCTCAGGACGCCCACCCCTAGTCTCGTCCTCGCGCAGCCCGCAGTGCCATGTGATCGTCTCGCCGCTCTCGTCGATCGCGAACGCGCTCGATCACGAACGACTTATGACACAGCACGTGCACACGAAGTAAACATCGAAATAACGCTGGCGACTGTTGAAATTCGCTTTTCTCTGTTCTACACGCTATCGGGATGGACGCAAAATTTTTCTCGCAATAGTTCCTTGACGATGATTACGAAGCGCACTTGAATTTTTCCGAGCGTAGGAATCGAGAGACTCTTTGGGTATATTCGGCGCGGGCTGACGCGGGAAATGGCAGGGCACGTCCGTGGATGCAGGAACCACGTGCGAGCGGTCGGTGCCAAAGGGAACGATAGGATTCCCCTGCGATTCCCGACGACGCGGTGTTGAAGTTGAAACTAACTAAAACTGGCCTAGGCAGGTGCGTGTGGCACGTACGGAGTATGTAAGACAATGCGGTGGTGTGGTGGTCCCTGCGATCTCCTGCGTCGCAAGATCTTCATCCTTCTTGTTCTGATCGGCTGCAGCGACGGCTATTTCAATCTGTTCATCAGCCGCGCTCAGGTCATGAAGCTTTTAGGTATGTAGGGCTCCTCTACTCGATGTTGACATAAAGGAAATAGGCGTGCAGGCGAGAGGAATTAAATGGATGGTCACCAGCTATAGAGCGAATTAAGTATGCCGGAAGAATGTATTTTATTTTATATAAATCTGTACGAAATGTATCTGAATGTATACGTACGGGAAAAAAGAAAAATGTCTGCATTAACTGTATATTTTATTCGCGTACTTGACTCATACTGGTGTCCATTCAATTGTGTCCGTGAAACAATGTGAAATGTTTCAATATAAATTTCCTGTTGGAACGAATATAGATTTAGTAGTTTTGTTTGAATTTTCAAACATTAAAATTGAAATATATGACTCGAAACTTTAAATATGTGTAATCAAAAATTTTATGCATTCTATTCGAGTGTAATCGATGTAAAATTGAAGCGTCATCTAGTTTTTTAATTAATAAATAAATAAAAAATGACTTTGTAAAAAAAATCTTTGCTACTCAAGTTTACGTGTACAAATGGAAATTATTTAAAATTTATTACAAAGTAAATTTGCAAATAAATTTATCCAACGTCGACTAAAGACTTAATTATACCTGATTTATCCAATGGAACGATCTATTCTCTTCTTGCGACCGTGCCGTTTCTAACTCGCGCACGAGCGTTAGTTGCAAAAGCGTTAAAACGCTCGATCGGCGTTACTTTTTTCCATTCAATCTAAACTCTCGCTTACATTTTCGCGTGGCGGTAAACATGAAAATTTCCTCCCCCGCGGCTCGTTAACAGGTCCCATTACAATTGCGCGTTGGGCGCGGTATTTTCTGAAAGTAAACGAAAGCCGGCGGGCGCGCGAAAAAAAGGTGCATACAGAGAGAATCTGCGCGAGACCGGGCGATTACTGTGTTGTCGCACCGACGACAACTCGTGCGTGAAGAAGTCGCACAACTAACGATAAAAATCACTTTAAATGAAGAATGATCTTACTTTAAATATATGATATAAATAGAAAAAGGGAAGATAAGCAGCGACGCGGCGACAAAGTTGAGAGGATTAGTTTTAATACGACGATAAAAAAAAAATCAGATTTTTCTTAAAATTAGCATGCACGAGACGCTACTAATAAAATAGAATACTATAATTTTACATTTTCATTGTGCAAAAATTACATAACTTTTTGTTTGAATCGGGATCCCTTAATTAATTAGAAGACTACAAACCAGAGACTGTACATATCCTTTCTTTATCTTGGAGCAAACAAAGGTGCATATATGCGTATAACGTAAGCGTAATAATGTTAATTAGGATCGGAATATTCTCTTTCCGCTTTTACGTTTATAATTGCGAGCCATTTGTGATTGTGTTATCCCTTGTACCTTATCTAATTCCGTCTCTTTAGCGTTTGCATCGTTCCGCATCCCGCGTACAGCGCAATTAACGCGATTGTAACGCGTCGCGAGGGGAAAAAAAAAACCCTCTTTCGCGAGACTCGTCTCGGGACACGGTTTTAACGAACGCGCGGGTAGAAAAACTTCAGGGTCGTGCGTGCGGTATCGGCAGTGGGGTGGGGGTGGGAGGGGGGGAGGGTGATTGCGCGCTTTGTGGCATCGCGAGCGCGCGGCGGCGAAATCGCGGAACGGCCGGCGAAAGAGCGAATTAACGTCGGGAAACGCTTATGGCGGGAGCGTGGCGGAGTGTCATTTCAGCAATTTGCGGCACGAGCCACTCGTTTTATAATGGTCGCCGGGGCCGAGGCTCGCGCTCACGCGCGCGCGCACGCTACGGAGAGAAAGTCTCCGTTCCATTCGATATCACTTTACGGCCCCGTGATTCATATCCGCGCGGGCGGTGGCACCGCGCTGCACCGTGTGGACCAGTTCGCGCGTTCTCCACTCGACGTCGGTCGATCGGGGGGGGGGTGGG